TATAGAGAGGTGTCTATGTTACAAAGGTGGTTTCACTCTAACTGCCAGTCAAGAGAAAACCCGAGAATGTCCTTTATAGAGAGGTGTCCTTGCTATAGAGGTGACGTCTACCACTAACACTCCGTCATCGCTGTTTGTCTGTCAGATGTTGAAGGATGAGTTGCAGGCGCTGCAGCTGACATACTGTAAGCTGGAGGAGCGATACAAGGAGCTACAGATGCACCACGATGACATCGTGTCACGATGGATGACGCAGAAGTCTGAGCTAGCCGACAGACTGAACGACGAAAACGACAAGATGTTTCAGTGAGTTGAAGCGAAAACGGGGAGGAATGTTTAAGTGAATTTAATGTAAAACCGGCAGGAATATTTCAGTAAATTGAATGTAAGTTGTAGAGGAATATTTCAGTTAATTGAATGTAAAGTGTAGAGGAATATTTCAGTTAATTGAATGTAAAACAGGACGTAATATTTCGGTGAGTTGAATCCGTGATGGGTCGTGCTTTGTAAGTCCCTGGGGCCCGTTGTCAGAAACAAAATTAGTCTTAACACTAGTCTTAACATTAACTTCCACTCGTAAACCGTTGACAGAAACATCGTAATGTTACGAGAACGAAAAATCCTCGAAAATATCCTCTTAACATCACGAGAGCCCAGACCCTCTCGTAACTTTGATATTAAGATGAAAATAAGACATTTACACTACGAATTACAATTATACTAGTGATATTATATTTTATTATAATGAGTAAAGTGTGTGTTTTTCTTTAAAAACACGTCAAAAACATTAATTATCTACCAATCATAAAACAAAACAAAACATTTACAAATGGCGTATGGCATTTGTTCTCTTGTTTTAATGTTGTTTGCCACTGGCCACGACTCTCGCATCTCGTGTTACAGTGTGAGAATTTGTCTTGTTGTGCAGAATAAATTCATGATTGCGTCGTTTTTCATCAAATATTATTTATATGTGGTTAGCCATCATAATATGCATATATTACTGTTATCAAGAGCTAATAATACCTAGAGTGTACAATGGAAAAACGGGAAAATAGTGCTATTTTTACGACATAATTATTCTACTTTGCCTGCGAGTCTATAATAATTTCATAGTATTGCATTAAGCAGAATTCTTTGCTCTCTAAAACAAGACCAACCGCTTGTCAATACGATACTCCTAGGCGGAGATATCGGCTCCTAAACCTCCCCTCCCACAGGCCTCACGGCGCCTTGATATATAGGTGACCGTGCCAGAGCCATTGAAATAAGGCGCGTTCACACGGACGTTTTTGGCCCGAGCCTAATTAAGCCCGCGCCAGATTTGGCTCGAGCCGAGCGTTCACACGGACGTTTTTGGCCCGAGCCTAATT